TGCATATGGATTGATATAATTTTATTGTGAATAATATATATATATATATATATATATATATATAAAGTTATTTTACTATAATATGTGTAAATTTAGAGAGCACATGGATGTTTCCATTCACTTTGCGATACATGAGGTATCATATAATATAATATGATCCGATAAAATTCAATATATCATATTTCACTAAGTATTTTCTTTTTGTAAAGAGAGATCATTTCTTCATCCTTATAAGTTGATCATAAACTAGCTCCAACTAATTGGTCAATTTTTAATATTAGACCAGTATATATGTTTTAATTTGTGCAAGATTGTTGTTCACTTCTTACTTGCATTTTGAATAGTTCTATAGGATAACTCTTAAGGTTAGAGATCCCATGGTCCCAAAGTTAGGCCCTTTTGATTTTCAAACTTCATTAGGGTTTGGCATGATTTACTGACGGGGTCATATTAGCTGTAAACAAGTCACAATTCAAATAGTTTTACCAATGACTTCTTGGCTATTATACTACCTAATCAAACTGTTCTATTCTCCTTCATCCTATCTTGATCCACTCAATATCTTCAATATATGTCTTCTTACCTGCAAAACACCCCATGAACATTTCATATATGATGCGGTTAAGGTGAATTTATTACTCCCAAAAAAAAAATCTTTATACAAATAGCCGGTCGGATTCACTATTTACTCTTCATAGCTGGTATGTATACGCGTTATATAAATATTATACATAAATATATATTATACAACCGTTGGCTACATTTAGTTTAATCAATTGTGTGAGCGGCTATTTAGGTTAATTCTATAAATAAATAAAAAACGGAAAGTCTTTCCATAATGGGCTTTGACATGACTGTAGAGCTGCAATAAAACCCAAAGTTCACCTAATACAAATGCAATTATTGGTGACTCATAAATTGAGTACCAGTTTTGAGTATGGGATTGAGGCAATTAGATACGCATGGGCTGGGTTTTGGATTTCAAATGTAATAACTATCCATTGGTACTTTCTCTCTTTTATATTTCATGGATTATTTTTTCAAATATTCATTTTTGGGGGAGGTTAATTGGAGTATAATCACCGGTAAAGTAATTAAAAAATAATCCTAATTTATATCCTTTTTGGTCAAGCTTCTTTTCGACCAAAAGTGTTTTTTTTTGTTTCAAAAGTATTTTTTTCCCCCAAGTTGAAGGTGCTTGGCCAAATATTTAGAAGGAAAAAAAGTCCTTTTGAGTAGAAGCAGAATCAGTTTTTTAGAAGTAGAAAAAAATACTAGTTTCTTTCCAAAAATATTTTATTGAAAAATACTTTTGAGAAAAATATACTTAGAATTACATTTTAAAAGCTTGGTCAAATATTAATTGTTGTTTAAAAGTGCTTTTCAAATTAATTAGTCATACATAAA